ACTCCAAGGCCTTTCACGCTCGAGTTGGAGCCGCCAACGGCTTAACATCCGATCATGGTTTATCAGGACGAAGATAAACGGGCAACTGCGCGCGCGAATCCCGAATAATCGGAGACATGCGGCAAAGCGGTTCACCGTCGTCTACTCTTCTCGAACCGGAAGCCGGTAGCAGACGATGCATCCCACAATCTCTCGCTCTTTTACTGGTCACCTATTGCTTCATCTACGAAGGATGCCAGTAGAGAGTTGTTTTTTACCACGCTTCGACATTCAGTCAGACGTCGTTTGGGCCTTGTCTTGAATTGCGATCGTGCACGATAAAGCGAGTTCGCTATGTTTTACGTTTTAGGCTGTGCGAGCGGAGATAGCAGCATGAAGCTAAAAAGCACGATGTAGGCTCACCGCTCATTGCTGACATCACCCACGCGTTTTATGAAGAATATACGGTGCAGGGGAGACAGCACATGTAGCGAAAGTTGTGAAGGCGAGAAAGAAGTGGCTCTCGCCTAAGAACTCGGAATGATTTACCCCCGTAATCTAGAACATCCTTTCACTCAACGCTTCCCCTTCACTTGAGAAACCAGATTGAAGCGCCGTCTTTTTGCACGGCAAGTCACTGCATATCAGCAGTAATCTTCTGTGACTCTTGAGCAGCGCAGCGTCATTTTTAGCTGAGCGGTGGCGCAGTGCTCAGCTCTGTCAAGTGAAGGAGAAAAGTCGATTGATTGATTTGTGGGGTTTAACGTCCCAAAACCACCATATGATTATGAGAGACGCCGTAGTGGAGGGCTCCGGAAATTTCGACCACCTGGGGTTCTTTAACGTGCGCCCAAATCTGAGCACACGGGCCTACAACATTTCCGCCTCCATCGGAAATGCAGCCGCCGCAGCCGGGAATCGAACCCGCGCCCTGCGGGTCAGCAGCCGAGTACCTTAGCCACTAGACAGGAGAAAAGTCGAGTCGAGGAACGTTTGTGAATACGGGGGTTAGAGTTCCTTTAAGAGCTGAAACCGAAAGCGTAGTCGGTCACTTGTCCCGCTTCATTTTTCGGTGGGCACGACTATAATAGAAGGACCTCAGGCACATCAAAATGTTCCGTGAGGAAAGTGAGTTGAGTGGGTATGGCATTTTCCGTTGTACACAAGTGCAGTTGCGAAGTAAACACTACGCCATAATACACCATTTTGCGAAATAGGAAAAGACCCACTACGCGTAGGCATAATGCAATGCATGAGCCTACGTAGAGCGAACACTTAAAGCAATCGTGCGAATGCAGTATCAGTCGACCACTATTATCTACAGCGTGTGCGAAATAGGCAACATGTACACCTCAAAGTTTCACAACATGGGAGGCGCCATAACGAAATGCGCACCGTCTAACATGCCATGGGCAATGTCCCAATTTTGCGCTGTTCGGACTCGAACCGGCGCTTTAGCTGTTGGAGTGAGGTCTTCGCTAAAGCCTATTTTCACCATTTTTTTATTTACTAGCTAAAGCATCAGCAATGGGCGTACCTTTCTTTGGCATCTGAGATGCAGTATGATAACTTTCTTCTCGTTGGTTTTCCTTCCGCCAACGACAGGCTGGGAAATGTGGCATGACGGTGGCTGCACTTGTAAGTTCTCCCCGTTGCCTCCGTAATTCAGGCGGTGGCGGGAAACGGCACAGCGCGAACATGTCGCACCTGCGTGCGCTCATCGCGTAGCGTGCAGTGTGGCGGACACACTATTATGCGCCTAAAATGTTTCGCTTGTCCTGATCGTTCTTGCACCCGCACAGGACGCAATGATGGCCAGAGGATCTGTTCTTCAACTACGCACAATTTTCTGCCATAGTAGTCCCTCTTTATAGGAGACAGGTGCCTATTACGCATACTACATCTAAGAGTACTGAAACTGGCACGCACAGCGCAATGGCAACACTGAGTACGTACTATCGTGAGCAATATGAGTTCAAACGCACGAGGGCGTGGCCAAGAGCCTCAAAATAGAGATAACGTGATAGGAGGATGGCGCTGCCGAAACTGGAAGGGAAAGGAGGGCGCTCTACCGCTGACTGTTTGCACTCCCGCGAAACCATACCCGCATGATCGTTGTTGTGAAACTGCAGTTTATCGCGTGCCTTCGGCCGCTAGCAATGATAACATGAAAATAAAAAAAAACACCGAAAACAAGGATGCGTAAGAAAATGCTCAGCGAACTCAATCTATATGTAATAAAAGCACGGCCAGTGCATCGCGGCCGGCTACGCCACAGCCGATGTTCTTGTAGCGTCATAGCCTGCTAGGTCAACTGGTTGTGGCTGTGCGCGTTGATGTCAATTCATATGACCCACAGCAGCCACTAGCAGCTGACACGCTACAAGCTGCATTTTGCAGCAACAATATCGAGGAGGGAGTGTCGACAGCTGGCGTGCGAGCTGCCCTTTCCACTTTGTTTCCCACGGCGGCCGCTGGAAATCAGGCGATGTAGGGTTTGAGGCTATTCGACACGCGTTCGAGCTCATATTGCTCACGATAGTAGATTCGACTCCTACAGCTCACTGGCTTGAGAGTTCGAAGGTGTATAGAATATCCAGAGTGACGCGTAGTGCGAGAAAGTGACAGAACTGCAGACACCACGGAGGAAGGAAAGGTAAGGAGAGGCTCTGACGTCACTCGCACGGAGGAACGAAAAGGTAAGGCGAGGCCCTGACGTCACTTGTTGTGAAGCCGCAATGAAGCCGGAAGTCGGCCATATTGAGTAGGCAAATTCTCCTCTCTTGTTTACATATGAATGCGAAGCAGAAGGCGCGACTCCCTCCCCCGCCGCGGTGGTCTAGTGGCTAAGGTACTCGGCTGCTGACCCGCAGGGCGCGGGTTCAAATCCCGGCTGCGGCGGCTGCATTTCCGATGGAGGCGGAAATGTTGTAGGCCCGTGTGCTCAGATTTGGGTGCACGTTAAAGAACCCCAGGTGGTCTAAATTTCCGGAGCCCTCCACTACGGCGTCTCTCATAATCATATAGTGGTTTTGGGACGTTAAACCCCACATATCAATCAATCAAGGCGCGACTCCCTCTCCGGCTCGGAAAGCACGTGGGCTGCGCAGCGCGTGTGTCGTGACGATCCGAAACTAATGGAACTGGGCTCATCACTCTGAGCCAGCGGGACACCTTCAGCGAAATCGCTTCGTCCGAGTAATAACAAAGAGTAACAGCTCGCTGACAACGAAGCAACTACGAGAGAACGCGCGCTAGATGCACTGACAACGGCGAGTGCTTTCACGTCATTAATTCAGCAACTGTACAGACAACACGATCGGTCGTGCGCCTTCTACGGTTGCATTCCGCCACGCGACTGACGCAGCGTCCTGCCACTGTGTCCGTGTTCCGCGTGAAACTCACCTGCGTCAGCATTCTGCGACCGTGGTTACTTTGAGCACGGTGCTAGTGACAGCTGAACGTGGTTGCTGTTACGTTGAGATTACATGCAATGCTGGTGGAGAGTGTACAAAGCGGAACAAAAGGTGTTTTAATACGCACATGCAACTTGTTACTATACAAACACACAACACGAAACTACGTATGTGCACATGGTCCTCACGGCGTCTCGCTGGGCTCAACAGCGCCGTCCGTTGTCACAAGCAGAAGCACTGCTCAACCGTCACTGACATGCAAGGCGTTCATCGTCGTTCAGCTTCGTCATGGTGCCCAACGCCATTTCGCTGAACACTGACTGCTTCATCCGCGTCATCCGCCGCACGACACATGGATATGCACTTGTTCTACGCACTGTTGGAACCTCGTGATGAACAAAGAGATTTGTAAACGTTGCTAAGAGTAATGTAACAGCCAGACGAACACTGCGTAACCAATGACGCGGCGCAGAGCACAGATATTGTCCGCCACGGCTCAGCACGAGACCTGGGGAGGCACACATTCCGCCGCCAGCCGCGGCCGCTCAGTGCTAGACCAGCTCCACTGCGCAACACGTAACCATAGCAACGCCGCCATTGTGCCTAGTGAATATGGCCGCCATGATGTCATTTCCGCCACATTTTTTACGCCTTGCGCCGGCTGGGCATGCCCTCTCCTTACCTTTCCTTCCTCCGTGGCAGACACGATCACAATGTCCATGGCGGTTTACGTCATACAAAGACGCGCGGTGTCCGTTAAGTGGAAGCTTCCAAGTGCGCATGCACTTCATGCTATGGGCGATTAACCACAAAGTGCCATGTCGTGCCTTTTCGTGGTTTCGTAAGACCCTTCATTGCAGCTCTATTGACAAATCTCAGTGCCACTGGGCTGATACGGATAGCACTCTCTAGCCAGCGAACGGCGCACAGTACTAACGTCAAAGTGCTGAAAAGAGCATGACTCCCATGCTTTCAAAGCACGGGAGTGCGTTACTCTACTGTACAAGAAGTATGGGACTTTTTAAGGCCTAAACTTTAAAGTTAGGTGCAACGCAGCGCGGTGTTTTATATACGATCCCGCTGTTACGAAAATTGTCCGTGCTGGTGTGAAATCTGCTTAAGTCGTGTCCATGGGTTGTATTGCTTCTTGGTAAACACGCTTGGTGGAACCCAGCAGCCTATTTTATGACTGCTTAGAATTTGTGAGGGTAGGCATGCACTGAAGGTACTGAAACGGGGAGTACATAGTGTACAGGGAAGTCGACCACTACTCCACCCCCAGTCATCTAGGAGGAGCGTCAAACCATCACGATATTTTTCCTCCCTCGCACCTGCCCTGTCGTTCAATGCACATGTTTACGGCCATGCAGCTGTTTGAAAATGATGTCACTCAAAAATTCCGGATGTCACAATCATATAAAGATTTACTTTCCACATTTAGCCCCATAAAACAAGTGACCAATGGTAGGCCGCCGTGTGCAGCACGTCATCATTTCATTTGCACTTCTGCATTCATTGCACAGTTTTCTTTCTTCAGGACTCGTCCAATGAGAAGGGGATGCTTATGCAACACATCGCCTTTAATAAAGAACCTTGCGCACACGTATGCTACTTGTTCTTTGTGTAGCAGCTTCATTGGTGAGATTATGCCATTGCAGTCATCGAGTGTCAGCGTTGCCCACCGCCTTCAACAGGTGGCCTACTCGTCTGCACCAAGAATACCGTGTACATCAGTGCTGCTCCAATTATCTGCGTCAAAGCAAAGGAACAAATGAAAAAGTTTCATAGATATAGAACTGACATTTCAGAAACACCACAAAACAAAGCACTTAGCACCATGGAAGAACTTTTACGTGTCAATAACTAAAACCATTACACTTGAGGGAAAATACATTTTTACGAATGAAAACGCCCATATGAAGAGGGAGGAAGGCGTTGTCTGTCGCCAAAACATCTGCATCATTGAGAAACAGAAAAACAAAGGCAACAGCCAAATTCACTTCTACCAGCGCTAATGAATACAATGCTGCGCATACACGCACAACCGTACACACAAACACAACATGGCAAAATACCCAGTGTACAGAAAGCCAAGCTACCCAACCTCACACCGACCATCGGGGAATTATAGTCATAGTATCTAGAGCATATTTGGGCATATTATTGTTCTACATTATCAAAGAAAAAGATTTGCAGGTGACACATGAAAGTTTGATCGAAGCCTTCAAACAGATAGATCTGTTGTTCTAAATCCACCAGTATTGAATAAATTTTAATTAGGAAGTTTCAATTAACACCGGGCAATCTTCATTGGTCCTATGTCTTCTAATAACACGTAAGAGTCTTAGCTCCTAAAGTAGATAATGAAGGTGAACAGTGGAAGTGCCTCAGACAGACTGGCCGACGTTTCGATAGGAGGACCTATCTTTCTCAAAGGTGCCTTGTCATCCTTGGCGTGTTAGTTTTAAGGGGGTTAGTAGTGATTTGATGGGGGTTAGTGGTGACTACTAACCCCCTTAAAAGTAACGCGCCAAGGATGACAAGGCGCCTTTGACAAAGATATCCAAACGTCGGCAAGCCTGTCTGCGGCACTTCCACTGTTCACCCTCATAATCTCACTACGTGTTTCCATCAGTCGCCTCCCATATTTATTTTGAATTAGCTCCTAAAATATAACACCCTTACACTCGCATTCATGCAATTTTTCGTTGGGCAATAGGTTATTTTGACAAGTTGAAATTGCTTTGAGAGTGCGAAGTGGTTTATAGTACACTTACGCTCGTGAATGTCCGCAGGTTCAACTTGAAGTAGTCGTTAATGCTGAACAAGTAATCCTCTCGTTCCAAGGTGTTCATAAGTAGAGACACCTATCAGAAGGCAATACGCACGTTTCAAGGCAGGCCGATTGCGAAACAAGCACGGAAACCGAAAAGAGGACATGCAGAGCGCTGCTTCCAACTAAACTCATTTCCCTGGGGTACCAATTCAGAATACAACTTAGAAGTGTGGCAGCTTGGGCTACTTGGTATGGCATGACGATAGTTATAGCGCGAGAACAAAACGACGACACCGAGACAGACAAGTGTCCTTCGTCTCCCTCTTGTCTCTGTGTCGTCGTTTTGTTCTCGCGCTATAACTATCGTCAGAATACAAGTTACGGGGCATGCGTCGATAACAACGATAAGCAATCACTGATTAGATCAATCTGACTTGCAGATCACCTGTTACGCGCTCTGAATCTGTTCGCGTCAGCGTAACCGTATTCCAATGACAAATAAAACATGATCCGAAAAAAAAACATCCTAGCCAAAACAAGAAATATTGTTGGAAAGATAAAAACATGTCATGAACCACTACAACTATAAGTTTGCATGCCTGCATTTCAATTTTTTTATTTAATGTATGTAAGGAGAGGTTGGCACCAATGCGTGGCATCGGCTACTCCTCTGCTATTGCGCAATAGTCAACATCGCAAATTAAAAATGTTGCTGCACCAACCAGCACGAGTCCAGACACTTGTCAATTTATTTAATGGTTAGGGTTTAAACATGTCAAAACTGCGACGTAATTAAACATTTCAAAACTGCGACGGAACCCTGTAGTGTAGAGCTCCGGAACATTAGGTCTCCCTCGGTTTTTTACTGCGTATCGAAATCTAATTGCAAGAGCGTCAAACATTTTCGCCTCGATCGAGAATTCAGTCGCCCCAGTGGAGATTTGATACCGCCGTCTTAAGTTCAGCAACCGACTACTAGACCACCACGTGGCGGGTAGATTATTCTGAAGAAGCACTTGCCAATCGAAATATGAGGCTAAGCGGGGCTTGTTAGTCTATTTGAATTATTGTGCAAACTCCGTGAGGAATGAGCTTTCTATGCCTGACTTAGTGTATTCACAACAACCTCTGCTGTTACACACTGAGAATACAAAAAAAAGAGAGTACATTACCTTAGGGGGAGTTAACGCACAGAGTCAGCGTCTATCTTTTACAAATATTAGACATGGAAGTAAAAACCTACCAGAAGCTGAAGCGGAGAACTTCACATCAAAATACGTTTAGCAGCCATTTATGAACCGTAGCTCTGAACAGAAATGGCTCACTGCATAGCTTGCTATTTCGATCACCACCACTAATTTAGGCTCCAGCCTAAATGTACGGTGCATCAGTGCAAGCTGCTGGGATCTATTTTTTTTTTTTTTTGAGAACTGTGGTGCGTTGACAGAAGTGTAACTGGAGCCCTCAAAAATGTACACAAAAGGAATATATAGTAACATCTAAACAGGTAGATTGCGTCGGAAGCAAAACTTCACTTTTTGCACAAGCTTTGGTGGTTCCTTCCCAAGAGGAGTGCACATGACCTCCGTTTGCAGCCTCCACACCTGCGAAGAAGTAAGTATTGTTATGTTTATTGATTCTCGCATAGCGTCACGTATACACAAAACTATATGTGACAACTGCTGTGAGGTAGCGCTTTGAAATGATATTCAGGCGACAAGCAGCTCTTCAGTATCTGGGATGTAAAGTACACCAACTCGGGTTTTCACAGAAACCAAAGTTTTCACATGTCGTTTTGTATTTTACAAAGCCAATAGGTTGACTCCAATGATACCGCGGGTTTTTCATCTCCACATGCTTTCTTCTTCACCTGAAATTTTCTTTTCATTGACTGGACTATTCTGGCACCTGTCCTGAAGTTGCCAGCACGATATTCCGTTGAAGTAGACCACAGGGAGGCATATAAAGTAGATCTCATTCAGACTTAATGACAAAAATATATTTTTTTTCTTGGGGTTCGCTCGAACCCCAACCAAAACTTTTCTTAACTGTACTCAGTCAGACTCAGAATCGGTATATTTTAATTAACCATGTTCACTCACTCAAGCTCACGGAAATATTACGCAACCGCAATGACTAAGACCCAAGACACGAAAATAAGGATTTTAGCAAGTTGGTACGCGTGCTTCTTTGGTTGATGCAATGCCCATGGCAATAACAACTGTTGGGATTCGACGATGCAAAATTACAATATGTTTGCGCGGGACGCTGTAGTGGAGGTGTCCAGGAATATCGAACACCTGGAGTTTGTTAACGCGTACCGAAAGCTAAGCGCACGAGCATCGAGTATCTTCACCTCCACCGAAAATGCGGCCGCTACGGCCGGGATTGGATAACGCGACTTTCGGATTAGCCGTCGAGTATACCATAACCATATCCAATGTGTTTAGCGCAGATTGAACCAGACGACAACGATACGAAGATACATACACAGGCACTACGAAAATGTGTTCCCTCCATGTTACCGCGCCTTGTTGAATCTGCGCTAAACATTTCAGATGTGACGAACCAACGAAATCACGAGCCAGCCTTTGGTATCATAGCCATTAGACCACCATAGCGGGCGCAGCAGCACACAGGGGACGTGGAAGACGAATTAAGAAGCATAGCGTAATTTATGTTAGCGCAGACTAAGGACACGAAAAAAAAAGAAGGCACATTCAAGATAACACAGGGCTAACTTTCAACAACAGTTGATAAGACTCACAGCATGATATCCGTGTGTGTGTGTGTGTGTGTGTGTGTGTGTGTGTGTGTGTGTGTGTGTGTGTGTGTGTGTGTGTGTGTGTGTGTTTACTTGTGAGAGAATTTTCCCACCGATAGAGTGGACCTTTGGCACGCAAAATACCAGTGCACTCATTGTGTAAACTCCATGTGCGAGCATTTAGTAATCCTGTCGGCCGTTCGACCAGGCAGGTGACTGACGAACTGACACGCAGTAACCACAGATAAAAAATAAATAAAAAACCATCAAAGCAAATCGCGAAGTACTCACATCGTCGGCAAAGCAGTGTGCCAGTGCCGTGGGCAGAAGGAGACTGCCGAAGTGCATACAACCGCTGCCCAGGAAGAACACCTTGTTGACGGGCGTCACGTTCGGCAGCAGACAGTAGATGATGGCGGCACAGAACAGTGCCGCAGTGTAACCGTAGGTGAACAGCAGGCCAGGACCCAGGATAACACCAGTTTCCTGCAGGCACCTCTTCAATCTGTGTAGCAGGACTCGACAATGCTCCGTCACCTCGGCTTTCCTGCAACGTTTGACACCTGGGTGACGTAATCGAGTAAAACAAAGCTGCGCAATCCTCACAAAACACCCCGCCGCGGTGGTCTAGTGGCTAAGGTACTCGGCTGCTTACCCACAGGTCGCGGGTTCGAATCCCGGCTGCGGCGGCTGCATTTCCGATGGAGGCGGAAATGTTGTAGGCTCGTGTGCTCAGATTTGGGTGCACGTTAAAGAACCCCAGGTGGACTAAATTTCCGGAGCCCTCCACTACGGCGTCTCTCATAATCATATAGTGGTTTTGGGACGTTAAACCCCACATATCAATCAATCAATTCACACAAAACGCCAAAAATGATCGACCTGTGCAGCTTATTCTGAGAAACGCACCCGTTTGGGATCGCGTGTTATTCATCATGCAGGAAAAGAACGCAGAAAACTGACGAAAGCTAAGAATGGCTTGTATGGACCAGAACCTTCATTGTTTGCGATAAGTATTTATCTTTGTAGTAGACACCCACAAATGCCTTCTGACAACTGAACATGCACACAACGGTGGAATAGAAAGAAGGCACACACGGTGGTCTATATACGTGAGAGATAACTGCTAAGGCATTTGATTTCATGTTTGCGCCAATCAATTCATGGTTGGTTCTTGCATGTGCAACCACTATTGTCGATATGCCGTGCCTCAATCTGCTTACTGATCAGGCGTCATGCTGGTTGAGCGCAGGCACTCCTTGATCTCTTGTCCGATGCACCGCAAGTGCAAGCGAAACACGGCAAACGAGTACGACATGCAGAGGCGCGGCCACATGCACTGCGGCACGATCACCAGGATGTACCAGGTGCCGAGACCCCGGGAGTAGATCGTCATCAGAGGCGACGCCTTGTCGTGCAGCATCGAGGCGCCGCAGTCAGTAGCCACGGCTAGCGACATGCACAGGGTGATCTGCACAGCCTGCGAATTACGGTGAAAGCTACAGTGTCACATAGTAATCTCTGATACTCGCGTAATGGTCATTGCATCGGAGCATTGCAAGGCAGTGCTTGTTCCATCGGCTTTACTGTAACTTCCCTACATTTCATGGTAAACTCCTTTACCCCCTCCTCTCCTCCCCCAGACCGTATGTCGTCGCCTCTTTAAGAGGAAGAGGAAGAGCCTGGAATTTGTGGTACACATGCACGCTGGTAGATTGAACTAGAACCGGGTAGTTTTAACGAAATACTTCCATTTTGTTAGCTTACGCCTTTTAAGATACTTAAAGGGATGAATAGAAAAAAAATTAATATTGAAAATTGAGAAATATAAATTACGGATATAGAAAATGAAGCATATACTTTAAGCAATAAATAAATGAAAAAATCAATCAATATAAAAACAAATATTTTAGGAGTAATAATTGGTTTCGCAGCCTGAATTTCTTTGAAATTTTAATAAACTCCCGCATCATCAAGTGGTTGCACGGTTCAACGTCTTCTTTTAATTAATCTTTTTCGCCGGTAGCTTTCGCAGAATGGAACATTTTTCCAGACAGTGTCGAGACCGAGCGTATCTCTATTGTGTTTACGCAATTGCTTACTAGTCCCCTCACGCTGTAACGCTCGTCACGACCTTACACTGCTCTCTTTTTTTATACTTCTTTCTTTTACATCATTCAAATTGTACTGGTTTGGTTAACATCGAAACATGTATTGCGTTTCTCCGATACATATGTCTCAATATTTTTGTTCGGCATGTCTGATCACTTCCTATGTACCCCCTCTTTTTGGAAGATCTATTACCCAAACAGTGGTCATTAAAGAAAAAAAATAATTGTGATGGTTGTCATTACACACTGCACTGGCGTTTAATCCCATGTAGTGCAGACGCACATGTACACGGCGGACCACTGACGATTCTGTGCCATGTGTTTACTTGTCTCTTTTTCCTTTAACGCTGTTTCACCTATAGATACGTCCCAACTGGCTTCCATCAGAGGCCACAAAGTTTTAGCAGGTTCATGAAGGTTGCAAGCCCTCTTGCATCTCTACGGCGTCCACGAAAATTGGTGAACGATTGTTATGTTGACAATGCGGTGTCATAACTTTTACAATGTCTCCATTTATTCTCATTCAAACGAATAAGCTGCACATTTTAGCGTGAAAGCGTTCCTTGGCTGTGCTGGCGAAAGTGCGCCCCCAGGTTGCGTCCGTGATTGGTGTCCGTAAAAGCCGTGTCCGGAAAGCACGTGAAGACTCGCTCAGGTAATGACAACAGTGCGAACAAGTGCCGCAGCAGCTGCCTGCAACGGAGGCGTAGGAGAGTGGAATCACTGCAGAAAAAGTCCCAATTTTGTGGGAAGAAGAGAAGCGAATGTGATTAGTCAACGCACTGCGGATGCGCACTGGTTTAGCACCCACTTTTATTCCAACAAGTTGTGCAAATAAACACAGTTCAGCTACTAGCATTGCCTCAACCTTTACAACACAATTCACCAACGCTACTTTGCCGCACCCCTCTGTAAAAATGACTAGGCCGAAAGACATTGCTGTCTGTTTTCATCTAGAAAAATAAACCTAGGGATCCCCTTCAAAGTTTCTCAAGGGCCCCACCGCGGTGGTCTAGTGGCTAAGGTACTCGGCGCATGACTCACAGGTCGCGGTATCGAATCCCGGTTGCAGCGGCTGCATTTCTGATGGAGGTGAAAGTGTTGTAGGCCCATGTGCTCAGATTTGGGTGCACGTTAAAGAACCCCAGATAGTCGAAATTTCCGAAGCCCTCCACTACGGCGTCTCTCATAATCATATGGCGGTTTGGGACGTTAAACCCCACAAATCAATCAAATTTTTACAAGTAAGACCTACTTGACAAAACAGAAGAAACCACAGTCACGATCAGCAATAGTGGGAAAGATTCCCCAAGGAAGACTCTAAACAGTGTCGATGCTCACGTAAAAGGCCATCACACCGACGGCGTACAGCTTCGTACGGCGCTTTGAGCCAGGAGGCGTCCGCAGGCACATTTCCAGCTCAGCACACTGGATGATCAGAGCCCGTAGCCGAGGGGCACGCACCAGGGACACGGTGTAGTTGACGACGCTCTCGAGGACTACACAGCTGACGTAGCAAGCGTACGCCATGGCGTGGAAGCGGTTGGCATCGCTCAGCTGACGGCTGCAGTGCTCGTACTCGACCACAGCGGTGAAGCCGACGGCTGCATGCGAAGACAGTAGAGAGACGTTATTGCTATCATTGGGACAATTCCAATAATAGGTCCTTTATTTTTAGGTACCAAGGGAAGGGAGGCTGGGAGAAAAAAAATTGACAAGAACCTGTTAGCCTTTTTTGCGCGGTGGACCCCAAGCGTTCCCCGCATGACCTATTGGCCACCGCGAGACAAGTCACTCGGCGTGCTCCACCACAAGAGCAAAAGCGCTGCATAGCAGACGGCGTGGATGTCCTGTGTCGGTGTAAGCCAAGTGTTTTGAGTCTTCTCGTAAAACGCATAGTAGACTTGATAAAAAAAACAATCTCTATGTCTGTTACCGACAGACCAAGAGGGTAACTTAGCCGTAATGTTCGTAAAAATGTACATGAAAAAAGTTTCTCATAAGGTGTCAGCTATTTTTGACTGTCATGCTGAAGTTCCAATAGAAAAGATGAAGATGTGAAACAAGAGCCGGCTTCACAGGTTACATCTTGACAGCGTCCATGAAGACATGTCAGACAACGAGGAATATTTCCTCGAAATCTTTTTTAGCGCGAGAACTCACAAGGTTGACATGCCTTTTAAGCTAACAGTACCTAAAAATGGTACCTAGAAGAAATGTGTTGCACTCTGTACCTGCACAAAACTTTCAAATGCCTAGTGAACGATTGCTTTCTGGTAAAAAGTTCGTGTGAAATACGGAATTTCAATTCGTAGCGTCGGAACAAGAGTCCTATCGCCTTTTCTGTAATCGTCAAGGAGCAGTATTATTCTGTTCCGCATGATTCATTGTTGCAATGCATTGAAGAATGTGTACACCAGTTTGGTGCCTATAATTTCTAGGCTCAGTCCGGTGTCAGCGTTAGCGGGTTTTTATAGCTTCTTAGTAGACCGCCATATAATTATCAGTGACACCGTATGTGGAGGGCTCCGGAAATTTAGACCACCTGGGGTTCTTTACCACACTCCCAAATCTGAGCACAGGGGGCTGTAGCATTTTCGCCTCCATCTAAAATGCAGCCACTGCAGCCGGGATTCGATCCCGTGACCCACGTGTCAGCAGCTGAGTACCTTAGCCAGTAAACCCCCGTGGTGGGGCTTGGCGCGCTTGACAACCGCGAGTGCTGACGAGTAGTGCGGCCCAGTGTCCCGTATTAGATGCAAAAGCACAAGGTGCCCAAGCGGTGCATTGTTCCCATTAATACCAGCAAATCAGAAGGTTTTTAGGGGCAAAGCTCCTAAAGCCATGGGTCAGTCCTTCCTCTGTGACCGGTTCGTAACCACCTTTGCAAACTGCCCTGTACTTCGTCCTCGCACACATCTCACTACGCCCCATCACCGATCAACCACTTCACCAACCAGAAAGCACCTTTGCGAACAAGAATAAGAACAAAATGAAAGTTCATTTGTAATTGCAAACTTCCCACTACTTCGTCCTCGCAAGCATCCCACTACGCCCCATCACCGATCCACCACTTAACCAACCATAAAGCACCTTTTGAAACAGGAACAAGAACAAAATGAAAGTTCATTTGTAATTGCAAACTGCCCACTACTTCGTCCTCACAGGCATCCCACTACGCCCCATCACCGATCCATCACTTAACCAACCATAAAGCACCTTTTGAAACAGGAACAAGAACAAAATGAAAGTTCATTTGTAATTGCAAACTGCCCACTACTTCGTCCTCGCAGGCATCCCACCACGCCCCATCACCGATCCACCACTTCACCAACCATAAAGCGCCTTTTGAAACAGGAACAAAAACAAAGTAAAAGTTGATTCGTATAATATGCGCACAGTCTTACGTCTTTCTAATGATGTAATTGGCTTAATTTCACGGGAAAGCTACGGTTTATTGATGACCTTCGCTCAAGCTTTGCCCGCTTACCATAATTCATTCCATGAATATGGCATTTTTTTGTTAGTTTGACTTCTTCGCAGTACTTTGTAACCTTAAGTCTGGCAATTCCAAAATTTAATTGTAGACTCGGTGACATGCGCATCGTACAATGAATACAGGACCCGTTAATCGTGACCAGTTTCAGCTTAACTTCAAAGCGCGCCTGAAATCCTAAGAAACCAGCGCCTCATAGCATGGCAGCGCCTAAGAACCCGTACGCTAAAGTTTGGCGCACTTTTCAAATAGTAAGCCCCGAGTGCTGTGTGAAACGAAAAAGTTTCGTGTGCCCCCTTGGGAAAGAGAAAAGCATTGCTGTTTTGGCAGCCGAGACTACCTCGAGAGCATCCCGACAACAGAGTGAAAAGGGTAAGGAACTATTGCCCTTGTCGGGGGCCAGTCGTACTGTAGTGTGCATCTCGGAAGTCATCTGCGATGTCGACATTTGTTGTGAAACGTTATCCGGTACTTTCGTATACGTCCTACAATTGGGGACGTCTCGAGATGCAGCCAACTCAAATGAGCAGTTACACTTACTTTAAAATCTATTTATACTGCCGGCAGTGGTCGCCACTAATAATTGGCCAGTAGAGCCCACGTATACCGGACAAACGTACAAAACAAACATCTCGAGGTTTCAACCTTTGATGTCAGGGGCACTTTACTGTCGAAGCGTGAGCGCTAAGAGGCAAAAATGAATACACAAGGGATGTGAGCACCCCCCCCACTGCTTAACCCACCAATCACATGACCACTCACCTGTGCTACCAAAGAGGCAGAACAGCGTGAAGACGGTGAACCAAGTTCGCTGCAAGCTGTACACCTTGCTCCAGTCGCTCGATTCAAGACCGCCCAGGAAGCAGGCGCCGATGGTCTTGCTGTACAGCCCGATGTAGCGAAAGCCGGCGTAGAAGAGGCCGCCTTCGCCTTTCGGACACCAGCCATCGGTCGATTTGCACACTACGCTGACGGCCGATGACTCTTCACGACGTGAACTTAGGCTGGTCCGGGACATGCTGGCGAAGAGTTTCTCCTTGAGCTGAACCGATAGAAGAATTTACGCAGCGTCTGTTAGGTGCTTGAAACATGTTCTGGGACCGTGGCAAAGCAGCTCCTGTACGTTATGCATAACTAAAGCACAGCTGACTTTCTTGTGGGCCTTCTGGCCATGAGCGTGAATGAAACTGTAAATATTGCAGTCTACGTGTGTTTGGCTGTGTGTGTTACGTGTTTATTAGTGTATAAGACATAATCAACACCTAGTACCTGGATGAGCATGTCTGGCGAGAAGCCAAACATATCCAGCACTTCATTGAAATATTTTGCTCGTTTTCTTTACATGAACATTGGACCTCGACCAAGAGCTGCGAAAGCAGGGAAAACAAAGGAAGCCTTTCTAACAGCAAAACTTCATAAGGTACCGTAACCTGTGTGTCTTCTCATGATTAATGGATCTTTATCTTCAACGCACATGAAAATAAATGTAAATCTCAGCAAACCCACCCCGAATGAGATAGCTTATGGCAAACCGCGAAGTCTGACGTTCGGCGACGGTGCCGACATGCTAGAAGATCCGGGTTAATAGCACAACTCAGATCTATTACTTTCTTTTCACGAAATAGTGAGACATTATATATCAGCTTGGGTGCTGGAAAGTCCCGCTCCTTCAACAACAGGTAACAAGACCTAATATTCCACACTGAGAATGTTACAAACGAGATCTTTCGCGTCGAGAGCAACGTTCAGCCGCTTTACTTTGGGCATAAACCCACACTGCCCCGAGTGCCATGAAGAGTATTGCTCGTTAGCGCCACGCTCTGGCAATGTTCGGCGTTACAACATGCCTTTTTTTTTAAATAAAACTTTGTTGGGCGAGTGAGTTTGGATCTTTTACGAACCCTGGGCCACCCATCACATTGCGATCTCCAGGAACAATTAAACGCTGTCTAAAGGACCCGAGAAAGGGCGGAGGACCATGGCCTTCTGGCCCCAACGTGAGTTCGGCCTGTGAAAGTACGACTCTGTGGTTCTTTAGGACCCGAATGAAGTTCATTGACGGACTGCCACAGTAATTGGGTAAATGCCCCAACTGACCACGGCTTCACAAAGAGGGGAGAAGGCAATCGCTAGCATAACGCTCTGGGCAACGGGAAAAACAGCGACAACTGGAAAAAGACACTGAAGCGATGGAAAGCCTAAAATGACGTGCCCGTAGACCTATGAAAGGTGCTAACGCTTGGTTTCAGTGTGAGTTTCTGTCTCGGTTGATTCGACATTCGTGTCGCGTCTATGTGTGTTTAACGTGAACATCTCTGCGCTAAGAATCAGCATAAAAACAACCTAGTATCACATGGCTAAAGCATAGAAATGACCTAGAGGCATTATAATATTCTTAAACACTATAGCTAAGGCTTACATACTACTTAGAAGCAACCATATTAGTCTTCATAGCTGTGCACTTTCGCTGTTTCACGGCTTGCGCAGCGTAGTGCAAGCCTGGTGAGTTTTCGATCGCTTTTTAATGGAGCAGTCACGCAAAATTTCAAACAGGAGATGTGGCGTTCAATGATTGCTTAGTGTGGGTTTTTTTTTTTTTTTTTTTAGCGTCAGCACAAACAGCGTCCAAAGGCTCAACGGCGTGTTCCTGGCCATGCGACATCGACAGTGCTTTGACGTGTTCAGCGAGCTCCTTGGCGACACCTCAGGAGCTCAGTGACGATAAGCGAGCAGCGATGACGTCGACAAATTTAGTGTTGTCATTGCGGTGTCTTCAAGTGGCGACACCTGGTTGCCTGGCAACGGCTTCACTTGCTTTGTTTCGGTTGGTTCGTGTAGCGCGCTCCTGTGAATCCTGCATTTTCGTTCGGCCTCTTCGGGTGATTTGTTGTTGTGTCATGGGCGTGATTGTGATTATTTGAAGCTACGGTCTTCACGGACAAGTAGCAAGCACGTGGAGTTCGTGGAGTTCGGCCAGCCAGCGTGACCCAAGCGTGCGTCTCCAGCTCTCTCGTCACCGTTTGGTCCGGCATTGATTTCAGAGTCAGAGCTCAGCAGAGGATTCAACCGAAAATGTATCGCCACGCCGACGACACACTCTGCGCCACGTAACGCCCATCGTCGAAAACACTGCACACGCGCAACATGTGCTCTGCGATACAGCATTCCACGTCATGGCTACGCTTGTACGTCGTCTGCTAGCCACATTTTTTTTTTACGGTTAAGCTGGCGTGTCCTGCATTTAAAGCTCCATCTCGATTAAACATTGGGGTGTTATTACAAAAGTGACTTTACATTTGATATATCCATTAAAGAAAACTGCAAAGAGATAAATAACTTAGAAAGGAGGATGAATCAGCTTAGCAAACAAAAAAAATTGGCTAGCAGGGCTAACAAGCGTATTCATGGTGCGTGCGATGGAAAGAGTGTATCGCAGAGCACATGACGCGACTGCGCAATGTTTCCGACAATCGGTGTTACGCGGCGCTGGTGTCCCCCCCACGCTCGCGTGTTTATCTTATCAGCGCTCACCGCTGTACACTACAATGCATCAGCTCACTCGCCCAAGCACTCGCCCGAGATAGGTGTAGCCTTAAGAGACAATTAAGAAAAGAGCAGAGTGGGTCATAGAACAAACCGGGGAGAAAGATATCATAGCTGAAAACAAGAAAAAGAAATGGACATGAGCCGGACATGTAGCACGTAGGCAGGATAACTGGTGGTCATTAAGGGTAACTGACTGGTTTCCCAGAGAAGGTGAACGCATGAAGTGAAGACAGAAAGTTAGGTGGGCCGATGAGATGCTAAAGTTCACAGGTATAACCAGGTAGCAGAGCACAGATGGTAGGGTTCTGTGAACGGTGAGCGGATATGTAGAGCTTGCTCTGCAGGGGGTAGGCGATGATGATCTGATGATGACTGCTCCCTTAGTATCTGCACTGTTTCCTAGGCCCTTTGTATAGCACGCGGTATCTTTTTAATGCACGCAGCTAGAAAAGTCGGCAACGCTAGTCGAAAAGTGGGGCAGTACGGGCGCTGAACTATTAACTGTTAGGTTTTTTTTTATAGAAAAAAGGAATAAGTGCCACCAGAGCTACTACTTTGCTGCCCTTAGTGTAGTGATGCTGCTTATTTTCCCTGCTTTTGCGGCTTTTGTGTGAATATAAATTTATAAACCAACTACAACCTTGTACAATATTGTGATTATTTTCTGTGCGCTTAACATGTCTACTGATTGTGCAAAGTATCTCTTATTCTCAACGAGAAAAAATTATGCACCACATTTTTTTAACGTGATAGTGTTAAAGAGCTCGTTTCACAGAAATACTGGCTTCGGCGTCATACGTTGAGAGCAAAAAACATAATTTTGTCCATGAACGAACAATCAAGAAAAATGCAAATAAAAAATAATAAGAATCTTTTGTCTTAGTGTGAATTGAACCCACAGGCCATGAGTGTATATTTACACTCATGGCCTGTGGGTTCAATTCACACGTAAGACGTAACTCGAAGGCGATATATCGCCTTCGAGTTACGTCTTACGTGAATTAATGCAATAGAGACCCTGGATTATTTATTATTATTATTATTATTATTATTATTATTATTATTATTATTATTATTATTATTATTATTATTATTATTATTATTATTATTGCTCTTATGGTCTAGCTGATTTACACTTAAGCATGTGTGCGAAGACATTCCCTTCATGTCGATGTTATATTTACTGAAACATGGTCGAAAAATCTATGGGAATACAAACTGTTTAGTGTTTTAGATTTCCGAAAGACAACATGTACGTGAATGTCGAGATCAGCAATTGAATTAGACTTAGGTGCACGTTAAGAAATCACAGATCGTCGAAATTTCTGAAGCACTCCGCTACGGCGTTCTTCATTATCATATAGTGGTTCTGGGATCTAGAATTTGCGCAATTATTACATTTAGTAGTAAGCAATTGACTTTTTGTTGGCTCTAGATGAATAACGAAATTTTTTTTCATTGTGATGTGTTTTGACGTTAGGACACGCACTGGAAAGTCTGCGTACTTTGATCATCAGAAATCCTGGTGCACGTTGTCATCTGAGTCTCTATTGCACAACTGATGCTAAAATACATTAGGCTTTGCAGGTCTAATGTCAATCTAGTGACTCATTAGGTGTGCATTAGCTGCACATTAGACTCTCAAAATTCATTTCATAAGGATAGTAAGAAGGTGTTCTGCCCCACAGCCTTGGTATTGCTTGAAACTTCTTCAGAAAAAATGAATATATTGTCACGCGATCGTGACATCGATTAAGGCATTCACCGGCATGTCACAGAAGAGTTTCGTAATTTAGCAGAGCTTTCTACCGAAAAACTGAAGGTAATACTACAGCAATACACCCTGACTCTGATAGCAGCGAACAGAGAGTCGGACGTCGATAATCTGGCAAGCGGTGACGCGCGTCGGCATTTTATACATGGGCCATCGAATATTTCAGCGTTATCGCTATGGTGGCCTCGTAAGTTCCAGAAGAACCTGTAATGTTCACGTTTTGCGCGTAATCGCATCCGAAGGCGCTACGATTATCTTGATGGTTCGCAGTCAATTGGCGTGGTTGCGCAAGGCTGCACTTACCCGTGATATCAAAATTTTAGAAAGGAGTGTGACAATATTATTGTCATGTTGGAGAAGGATAGTCTCCTTAACGCATACAGTATTGCGTAAGCAGAAGCATACAATCAAGCCCGGCGTCAAAAAATGTGAATTAAGCAACGCGAGTGTGTTTTACAGGCCCGCCCATTACAAAGCGCCCGGACAAATTTAATCATCATCAGCTGCAAAAGCATGAACAAAGCGGGCAAGTGCGTTAGTTCTCGTGTGGCTGCCTTTTGCTGTTCGCAAAAAGAATAATTGCGACGTAGTTGCACTAAACAACTGTACACATTCAGTATAAACTTTAAGATAGTTTCAAGCTGCCATTGTTACGCGCAAAACCACTGTTCTCACTGTGCATTCAAAACAAAAACCAT